CCCTGCGTGCAATGGTTGTTGTATTTTATCTAAGTGCGTAAATCAAAATGGTTTAATTTTGTTTTCAAGGTGGTTTTGTGCTCCACAGCTGAATTGAGTGAATGTGCTCCTTTTAGATAGGATCAGAAGCCACAGAGATGTCCTGTTTCTCAAGGTTTGCAGAGCAGATCTGGTGCAGAGCTGCAGCCAAGCCGGGTGCGTTACTTCAGCGAGCAGAGCACAGCACATGGGACCAGCAGCAGGGCCAAGATGCCCCGGCTCTGCCATTCCCAACACCTTTGGAAAGCTCTCCCTTTAGAGAGGGATAGAAAAATATGATTTTAGGGAAAAATTCCCTTCCTTACCCCTCCTCTGCCTCTCTCACAAAGGTTTAGGATGGCTGTGTTTTGCACTGTGTTTAGTATGTCTTGGGGTCATTCTCACTGCAAGAGCTTTATCACAGGAAGCTGTGCCCCCACACCAGGTCTTAAAAAAACACTTGAGAGAAAATGCTGGGTTTATAGTCTTAAGCTTCCCCCCCTCAAAAAATAACAGTGCCCTGAAGCAGAAGGGGACTGGTCCCATTATACAGCTCATATTCACCATCCTGGCAGGTGGAACACCTTTGTGGCCATCTCATGGATGGTTGTTCAGAGATCTGGAGCATTCATTCATTTACAGACAGACAGTATATCTCTATAAATCTTAGGCATTTGGATTTATAATTTATTATTTACAATAATTAACTTACGTAGTTACACATACAAGCTCCTCCTCTCGTTTTCTGGCTCCTTGGTTTTTTTTTAATCCTGGCTAAGCACAGCAGTGTCCCCAGGGGCTGCTGGTGGGACAAGGTGGTGATGCCCCAGCCTGAGTCACAGTGGCCAAAAGACAAGCTTGCTCGAAGGCAGGCATCTCAGTGACACAAGGATCACAAACAGCTTAAACCCCTCAGATCACCTCCTCAAGGAATGGATCTCAGCCCTGTACAGAGGCCAGTGCTGCGGGTGTTTGATGGCATGTGACAGATGACACTGCTATTCTCCTTGTCCAGGGGAGGTGGCTGCTGTGCAGGGCACTGGCTTTGATCTCCGGCAGCCCGTGGAGCTGGGGAAGCATTTGCAGAAGTTTGGCCTGGATGGCTTTGACCACAACTTCTGCCTGCAGCAGGAGCAGGCTCGACACCTCGCGGCCAGGTAGGTTGGGACACGAGAAGGAGTTTCCCACCCCTGGCTGTTCAGCCAGCTCCTTGGTATCCTCTACTGGCACAGAATCATGGAACAGTTTGGGTTAGAAGGGACCTTCAAAGGTCAACTGGTCCAACCCCCCTGCAATGAGCAGGGACATCCTCAACTAGATCCTCAACCAGAACCACATCAGCCTGGCCCTGAATGTCTCCAGGGATGGTGCATCCACCACCTCTGTGGGCAACATGTGACAGCGTCTTAGCACCCTCATTGTAAAAGATTCCTTCCTGGCATCTCCGCAGGGCTTGCCACCCACCCACCGGCAGGGTCATGGAGGTTCACACCACCCAGCCTGGCATCCAGTTTTACACCGGGAACAACTTGGATGGCTCCCTGAAAGGCAAAGGTGCTGTTGTGTACCCCAAGCACTCAGCCTTCTGCCTGGAAACCCAGAACTGGCCTGATGCTGTCAACAAGGTGAACCTCCCCCCATCCCTGTGAGCTGCTTGGGTCCTGTGGCAGGGAACTGTACCATCACAACCACCCATGTCTATATATGAACCTCAGGACCCTTTATGGTCCCTGGTGTGCACTCACAGTCAATGACATGCTGCTGTCTCTCCCCAGCCCCACTTCCCCAGCACACTACTCCACCCGGGTGAGGAATACAACCATACCACATGGCTCGTGTTCAGCACTGCATAAGGAAAGGGGATGGTGACTCCTACCACCAAGAGAGGTAAGTGCCTCTAGCACTGCCAGGTGCTGAATGGTGCTTTCAAACCACCCCAGGTGATGCATCCCGTTTGGAAACTTTCTTCCTCCTCTGTGGTTTTCACCCATGGTTTCTGCTGGCTTTAACTCCTGTCACCACCCTTGCCACTGCCTGGTCTGTGCAAAGAGCTCTCACCCTCCGTCCAGCCTCACCCTGGGCATTAGGTTTTATTTTGCAGTACAAATGCACTGAAAGCACTTTGCTCAGGGACATGGCATGTCAAGCTCAAACCGCAGCAGGAGAGTATCTATTTGCTAATGCGTGCGGAGCATGTGAGAAGGCTCATAAAGTAGTGGTTGTTCCTTATATCAGCTATTCCCAGCAGAGTGCTGTGTTGGCTGCTGCTCTCTCCCTGTCACTGACCTGCCCCACAGCTTGGTGTTGGATCTTCCAAGGATGCCCTGCCCTTCCCATGATGGGCAACAGGGCAGCTCTTGTGGCTGGAGCCATCAGGTCTGACAGTAGCATTGCAATGGCACAGGCACACAGTGGTCACACAGAACAGCTTTGCAGAAGATGGTGTGCTGGGATTATCCCAGCTGGCTGCCCTGGCTTCTCTGGTTTAGCTCTTATTTCAAAGCCAAAGAGCATCTTCTGCACTATGTTCTGGCTGCTGAAGTGAAGCAGGTGCATCCATCTATAGTCCTGAATATGCAACAGCTGAAGGAAAACCATCATCTTAATGTTGTGTTTCCACATGAACTATGCATCATCCCTGTAACAGTGGCCTGTCAGATGAAAACCTCCATGTTTCTGAGGTTAATTACAGGCAGTTCTGCCACCCTGACCCCCAGAACGAGCACCCTGTTATTCTCCTGACACACACAGTGGTCACACAATATGTGGCTGCAGTTCATACTAAGGGCTGGAGTTGTTTGGAGGATAAAGCCCATCTGATCCAAGTTCAGGAAATGCTAAGCTCAGGTTCTAAACCAGATGCAGGAGCACCATCACCCCTGTGGGAGTGGGGTTTACCTCAGGCCCATGTCACCTTGCCCACCACCCCCAGGGAGGCTGCCCAGGGTGCACATACCCCACCCAGAGGTGCAGGGCTTGTGGTCCCAGCAGCAGCCGTCACACAAGCACATCCCTGTCCAGGCATCTATTCCAAGAGCGTGCAAACACTGTATGGAATTTCTGGTGAACTACCAAACTCAGGAGACAGCTGGAGCTGCAGAGCCTGCTCCAAGGATGATGACTGGAGCTGTGGGAAGCACCACAGCTGCACAGATTTGATACTGCTCCCTCTCTGTACCTCACAAGTGCTGTCTGTCCTGTGGGCACAGCCCTGCCTCCTTACTCAGGTTCTCACCACTAATCCTAGGTTTCGAGGAACCTCAATCCCCTGCAGAAACCTCAGGCTCCTCTGCATCATCTTCCAGTGTCGCTGGGTACTGAAAAACAGGTACCAGTACAGCTGTCACATCAGTCTGCAGGTTTATTGTGGAGTAGGCATGCCTTAAGAGTACAGAAGAGAAAAAAGCTCATCAAATTCCAGAGCACTGGCGTACATATGCCTCTCACCAGGTACACTATGAACTCGGTAGGCAATGCACAACCAGGAAATATTCCAAACACAAGACACAACACACTTTGGGAATTTCTGCTACATCACTCCAGTGTCAC